CTCACTAAATAGTGTTCCAAGGCAACCCAGCCACCCCACTCACATACTGCCTGCCCCCTAGTGGAACTTTCAGTTTTCCCAGGAAAAGGTAATGCTGCAAAGAGATAGTCATTATCCTAAAGATAAGACCCAGCCCTAAACCTCTGGGTCTTGGGTTCTTTGGGCTTGGGATATTATTTCATTTGCTCTGATGACTAATCAGTACTGGCACCTTGACTGGATTCAGATTCACTGTACACATATACCATAGATGTGTCTCTAAGTGACTGTTTATGGAATGGTTTAAGAGAGTAGAGAAGAGCCATCCTGATCGTAGATGGCACCATCTATTGGGCTGGGGAATCCTGGTGAAGGAATGGAAGAAAGTGAGCAGAGAACCAGTATCACCCCTGACTGTAGATGTACTGTGACCAGCCGCCTCATGCTCCTGATGACCTGTCTTCCTCACCATGATAGACTGTATCCCCTCCAGCTGTGAGCCAAAATAAGCCCATCCCTTAAGCTGATTTTGTTGGGAATTTTGTCATAGCAATAAGAAAATAACAAAGACACATGTGTCTGGAGAGGCAGCATTGGGGAAATGAGTGTAGCCGGCTGGGTTGTATCTAGGCTGGAAATTCCCAACTGTTTCTTTTTTTCAACCCCCTTCTTTCCTGGGGTGTGAGTTTCAGTGGCTGGTTTGCTGACTTGATGTTTTCAAAGCTCCAGAAATGTCTCTGAGGCTAGTAGGCAAATGTGTGTACATGCATGACACATACTGTGGACATTGAAGTCTAGCCACAGAAAGGGAAGCAGAGTGCAAAGGCGCAGTGAGAGTGTGTGAACTAAGCTTCAGCTGCTTCTAGCTTGGTGCTTAGTAGGTCCATAACTACTCATTCTCTGAAGATCTTTTTGGGTGCCCTCCAGTAGGAAGCGTAGAATTAGCTACAGTCTGAGAAATGAAAGGAGTTATATCTTGTATATTTCTCCATTGCTTGGAATAATATTTTCATGATCGAGGGCTTCTAACTGGGTAGCAGTCACAGTGGACATATGATGTGGTGGTGCTTCCTGCTGCATTCACGGTGGATCACGGGAATTTCTGCATGCGCTGTCACCATTCGCTCGTTCATCCATCCATTCATTGTTCTGTTTGTATTTTGGGGATATACTACAGGCCTGGGGCTGTTATGGATTTTGCGATATAGTTGCAAGCAAAGGACTGGTTGATTAGGGGTTATTTTTCATGGGGAGGAAATGGAGCACATGCTGATGGATATGTTGTGTATCTTACATAGTTAAAATAGAACTGAGGAATGCTGTCTGTAACAAAAGCAGCCATCGGGGCAGATCACAGGTGATGGCCACCTTGAAGTTCAGATCTTACCTCTATGTAGGACTAAGATTTTGTTAAAAAAAAAAAAAAAAAAAAAAAAAAACGAAACAACCTGTCCTTTAAGAAGACACAATCAGATTAGCTCAGCATTTGAGATCACGGGTGACATACTGTTGTATAGATGAGCTGGATGAAGCCAGGATCACAGGTATTGTCATAATGGTAGCAGATGTCTAGGTTTCATTGTACACATGTGCTGTGACCTACAAAGCTCTTCTCTGATGTGGGCTAATTCAGATACTTCTGACATATTGATATTATGAACTACTCTACTCAAAGAAAGCTCATGAAAACAAGTGGCCTTTAACCGATTTTTAATCTATTGAAAAAAGTTTGGGAGCTGGAGAGACACGGAACTAGGATTGCTTTATGGAAATGGCACAGATGATGGAGGAGAAGGGTGATGGAGGCTGCCAGGATGTGAGTGAGAGACCACTGCATAGGTTTTCATCAAGGCTATGGGAGATATGGATATGGGACAATGAGCTGCTTAGAAAGGTCAGCCAATTGGAGCAGCCAGTAGAAGCTGCCCAGTAGAGTTGGCAGCATTGGCGACCAGAGAACAGAGCAAGAGAAACTCTAGGATGTGTGCCGGTAGCGCAATGAAGACTGACAAACTGAGGAAGGAGTGGAGAACACTGGAGTGGAGGGCTCCCTCAGGTTGGTTTGTGGAGAGTAGAAGATCAGGGAGAAAAATGTCTGGGAGGTGAGGGGGGGCATTGTTCATTTTAAGAGGCAGAGACAGATGGAAATGTTGAGGAAGGTATGGCTGGACCTCCTCATGGGGCAGGTCTCTAAGGAGTCGGCCAGTAGATCCTGGAGTGTTGTTGTGCATTGTGTTGCCGGGATAGGAGGCTCTGTTTGTATTTATTCACACACTCATTCATTCCTTTATCTCCTGCTAACCAATTCTAATTGAGGGACATAATGTGTCCAGCTGTGTATTTGGAGCTAGGAATCTGTTGGCAAACAGGGTAGGATGTATTTTATTCTCACAGGGACAACAGTTGAGAAATTGACAGGTGTAGCCCCATGGTTTTCCACTGTATTTACAAAGGAAGGCATATGCTCTGAAGGAAGGGAATGGTAGGTGAGGGCATACAAATCATGACCCTGACCTCATTTTGAAGGTGATGTCAGGAGATACTCATGAGGGCAGGCCATGTGATCTGAGTTCTATAGGAAAGCCTGGAAAGCACATTAAACAAATTCCTAAGTACAGGAAAAGACCCTATATGGCAGGTATCAGTGTGTGCAGTTGGGGGGGGGGGTGGAGGAGCTCACAGAGTGTGACCTGGGGGTGTACTGAGATTATCAGGGGCAGACACACACTTTGTCTTCCTCACAGTGAAGGGGGTGAAAGACCTACACACAGTAGAGCCAAAGCTCAAACTTCCCACAACATTGTGAGTGGGTGGGGCTGACCAAAAATGTTTCAGTCACCTGTTATTGGGAATCCTTGTATCCTGAGTGGTCAGAGCATTTTCAGAAGAGGCTAGTCTCTTAGTGACTCATCTGCTGGGATGTCTGGGGTCCAAACGACAGAAGCCACCCTCAATCCAAACTGGAACACTTAAATGTTGGTTAGTTTAGTGGCCCTGGGGCTCGTGACTGAATGCACATCAGAATAAATAAGTAAAGATGACGCCTGTGATGTCACATCCCAGCAGCAGTAACTTGATAGGTACACTCAAAAGTGTGTACAATAGTCTCCTTAAAACAGTCTCACAAGACAACAGACCAAGAGAGAAGCAGCCATACTGGGCAGGTCCCAGTTTCATCCCTCTTCCTTGGTCGGGGGAGGGGACAATCCAGACCAACCTGACTGTTTGGGTTGCAGCTGATGTTGAACTTGGCATTTAAATTGTTTTTCAACACCACACTCAGGGCAACTTTTTTCCCTTCCTGAAAATATTTCATGTGTTAGCCTCTATTTCCTGTGACATGTCTATACTAAGTTTGAGAATAGAACAGAGAGAAGTATAGTAGATATGCAAGTGTTGCCATATAGAGTCTGCTAGTCAAATGCTGACCGTTAGTGGTCATGGTGATAATGATGATGGTGACGATGATAGTGGTAGTGATGATGGCAGTAATGGTGATGACGCATGTCTCAGTACACACATGAGCCATGTCCTAGTCCCATCATAGATTTTAGTAATGCTGATGGTCCATGTCTCTGTACACACATGAGCCATGTCCTACTCCCATCATGAGATTTTAGATGTGTGTTTTTTTGAGTAACTTGATGTATGGTTCCTGATCATGAACTTTGTGGAGGATTACACCCTATTGCAATGTCAAATAAAGTTAGACATGCCTTCATACATGTTTTGTAGCCTCACTCTCATCATAACCAGGTCACAATGTCACTCATAGTGGCTGCATTTCCAAAGACTAGTGGAATTTCAACCATTTGCCTCTGGAGGAGAAAATCGGTGTGATAACACTCTTACACACAATAGAACTCCATTGTGGACATTAATCTTATTTTCATTGGACTTTAAAAGCTAATTCTTGAAATTTAATTGCTCAGTTAATCGATTTACCAATATTTATTGAATGTTCAGGTTTAGCATCCACCCAACACTGGGAGATGGTTCTTTGATCTACTAACAAAATCCACCCAGAATCTATGTTGGCTGAGTTTAGCCCCATCTCTCTTCTCATCCTTCTTCCCTCCATCCTTGTCTCTCCTCCTTCCCTCTTGGACATTTTGGAATCATCAGGAACCTATGCTTTATTTCATTGGCAGTGCTAACTCGATGAAGCTATGCTAATAGCAATCTCTGGGTTGACTGATAGCTGGGAAACCAGCATAAGACTGACCCAGACCCCCTGGGTCTCAGGAGGCTGGGCAGTGTATGGGACCTCTGACAGTGGAACTAGGATGTATCCCTAGTGCACAAATGGACTTCGGGGGCCCATTCCCCATGGAGGGCTACCTTAGCCTAGAGACATGGAGGGGAGCCTAGGCCCTACCCCAAATGGCTTGACAGAGTTTGATGTTCCCTTATGGAAGACCTCACCATCTCTGGGGAGTGGATGGGAGATGGGATGGGGGTGGTCTGTGGAGGGCATGGAAGGGTGGGAAGGAGTGGGAACTGGGATCAATATGTAAAATAAAAAAGTGTTAAAAAAGAAAAAAGAAAAAACAACCAATCTCCGAGTCTTCCTTGGGAGAGAAGAAAGTTAGTATACTCTCTCTTACTGTCCTCCACTCTGCCTGTGTGTGATGTATACACATTTATGTGTGTGAGTACAGGCATGCATATGTCACAGCACATGTGAATGTCAGAGGGCAACCTTGGGTGTCAGTCCTCACTTCCCACATTGTTTGAGACAGGGCCCTTTGTTGTGCACTGCTGTGTGTGCTAAGCTAGCTGCCTGGCCTGGGGATTCTCCTGTCTCTGCACCCCTTCTTTCCAGAGAAGCATTGCGCATGAGAGATGCTCTCACGGCATGCTCACGTGAACATGTTTTCTGAGCATCTGACTCTGTCTGTCAGGCTCACGCAGCAGCTACTTTACCCACTGAGTCATCTCCCTAGCCCTCATGTATGCTATTGATCAAGCAAGAAAAAACATGGAACTGGGAAAGTTTCTGTTGTTTTCTGGATGAACAGTCAACTTTTCTCATCCCCCAGTGATGACCCTGCCTGGGAAAGAAATGAAACTCTTTCAAAAGCAGGTAAAGACCGAGCCTCTCAGATTTCCCCTTCCCTCTTCTCCCTTCCTCTGTCCTCTTAATAATGAAATGTATTTGGAGCCCATTTTCCCTCCAAACATGAGGTGCTAGCTAAGAGGCTGACTGAATGCTTAGTCTTTAGGCTTTCAGGCTAGCTATGTCTGGGAAACCAACAGAAAGGATACACTGGTCACCCCAAGCGGCATCCTTGGAACCTCTGGTGAGCACAGTGTACCAAAGATGAGTGTACAGTCAGGCCAGCATAGAATCTGCTTCTACCAGGATTGAGCAACAGGGCAAATGGGCAGCATCATCGCCAAATGAGCTGGGTGCAGCTTAAATATAGGCATGATAGCTGGATGTCTATAAATCATTTTTACAAGGCTTAAACTCGTAGTCACTGCATTATAAAAACAAGAGGTGAGACAGTTACAGTTCATAATGTTTATGAAGTTTGTTAATATAAATTATGTGAGAAGAGCTCATCTCTACCGCCTTCCTGGTGGAAATCATATGGATTTAGGTCAAATGTTCTGATGGTCCTGAATAATAAGACTACTGGGTTAATAAAATATTCAATTCAGAGATTCAAGCAATAACAAATTCTAAAAGAATGTTTTAATGTTGCAAATTATGCTTTTGAACCCTCATTTTAATCTTAATTCATAAGCCCGGCACATGAATAGCTGTAGATACAAAGTAAGTGTATGTTTGTGTAAATATGTATGAATATATATGAATATGCATAATATATCATATCTGTCTGTCTCTCTCCATACATATCTCTTCTTCCCATTATCTGATACTGCCTGACTATATTAAAGATATCAGGCACCTGAATTTCTTTCCTAACCAGCATAGTCAACCCAAGACAAAAATGTCATTGGAAGGAAGCCTTCATACTTACTTCTCTCTGGAAGTCCCCAGAGTGTCATTTATAGCTTGTTCTTTAATAATGGCAGATATTTAGTTTGGGACCATATGAAAATGTAGCCAAGGAGCTGCCTGGGGTGAGAAGATAACCCTGTTGATGGATGATTCTGCTACCTGGACAGCAAATGCCATCCCAGGAAACAGAGCTAGCTGGCCACCAGTAGCTCCAGGGAGTTTGGGGACAGTGAGAGGAGTTGTACATTGTTGCCAGGACAGGCCTGGTGACTGTGAGAGCAGCCATACTAGGTAATTGAAGTGGTGCTATATCTCAGAAATGGGTCAGCTCAGGAGGAGCTAACCAGGCTTTCCATAGAGGATGCTACTCCGAGCAACCATGACACTGCTGGCTCCAGATGGGGTTTGATGGTTCAGGATGCAGAAAATACGCCCAAGACATTCTGGGTATGTCAGTGGAAACACAGCCTGAGGTACTGACTATGCAGCCTGAGGAGTTCACCTTAGAGATCTCTGCTTAGATGTGGCCAGGATCTTTGTTTATGTCACAGACAATAATTTTGACATGGGTCAGTATGTTAATTGCTTTTTGTCTCTGTGATAAAAATCCATGTGACCAAAAGTGATTTATAAATACTATAAAAATTATAAGTAATTGTTTTAGTTTATGGTTCCAGGGGGCTGGAGTCTGTAATGATGGAGGAGGCATAGGCAGCCAGAGCAGGAGACTGAGAAATCACATCTTGAACCACAGACATGAGGCAGAGAGGAGTGAATTAGAGGTGGGATGGATGGGGCTGTGAATTCGCAGAGCTCTCCTCCAGCAATCGTCATTGATGTGCAGTCATCAATAAGGCTCTACATCTTACCAGTTCCACAAGGTCCTCAAAACAGCACAGCTGCTGGGAACAGGTGTCCAAATGCACAAGCCTATGGGGACATTTCTTATTCAAACTGCCACAGTCAGTATGAGGAGCCACCAAGGAGCGGATGTGTATTTCTCTAGAAAGAATCACCCTTAGGTAGCTTTTCAGTAGTTATGTGTCTGATTTTGAAGTCACCAAAAAAAAAAAAAAAAAAAAAAAAAAAAAGTTTCAGGATATAATTTGCAATCAGGTTCAAAGTTGAAAAGTAAAGTTTAAGTACAAATAATGAGCTGGTTTACATGGTTCTCATCTCTCAAGAATGTCCCTCAGGATGGGGGGCTGTAAGCAAGGGGTTGGTTATGAGGTGAGCTGTTTGGGTATATGGGTGAAAGAGGGGCACAGTTAAGACTAAGCTCAAAGGTCACGTATATTGAATTTGTGGTTTGAATACTTGATGCCAGAAGTCAATGTGACATCTGCTCTTACTGGCCGGGAAATAGGGGCAGCTTGATGTAGTGTTTCAGACAGGGTCCCAGGAATTTTAAAAATGTGTTTTGTCTGTGTATGTGTGGAGAGGCATGCTTGTGATGGTGCATGTAAATCGGTCAGAGGACAACTTATGAGCATTGGAGTTCTCCTACCCTGTGGATTCTGGGGATCAGACTCATATTGCCAGGCTTGGTGGCAGGGACCCCTGCTTGGTGTGCCATCTTGTTGTTGGCCCAGGTTATTTCCTTGCATAAATTGGTGGAGGAAACACCAGGAAAGCAGCTGAGATGAGCATAGGAAGAAACGGAAGCTGTGAACCAGCGGGTCTACATGTGTAGGTAGGAAGATACCAAGTTTCTCGAGTGAGCTATTCTAGTTGAGACATCCCTCATGCCAACAGGGGACTTAGCCATCAATGGGACTTCACGTTAGGGAAGGTCTTGCCATTTCCTCATTCCTGGGATGGGTGAATATAAGAATTTAGTCTCTGTGGGCTATTCTAAAGCTCAGTGATGAGGGGCTAGCCTCTGCTGTAAGAGCTTGATCAGGGAACTGGGCCATATGATGGCAAGGTCAGGCAGGAAGACTCGAGTAAGTATAGCTTGGGATCTTCGCCTCTGCATCCCCATTAGCACCGTGTAACCACTCATTCAGTCATTTGAAATTCTGCCCTGCGAGGGCAGAGAGTTGAAGCCTTATGGTTAAATTGCCTTCTTGGCAAGGCCTTGAGAATCTGCTGGCTTGAGTAAAATTTCAGTTTCCTATGATTAATGGGATCGGAACGCGAAGGGAGAAAGAATGTGGGAAAGATGACTATTTCTACCCAAATTCACATCTGCTTTTAAAATCACAAGATGGTGGAGAGTCCCTTTCAAAATCCAATTCTATGTGTTCTAGAAGGTTCTCTTTACCCCTTGCTCCTTGCCCTATGGCCTGGCTGCAGGTGTTAGGAAGTGGGTAGTGGGGAGTCAGTTGCCTAGCTGGGGCACACCTGGGAAACAGGTTAGTAGCAATGGAAGTGAGGGGAACAGATGAAGGCTGCCTGGACTTCCCATTATGGATTCTGGTGGCTTAGGAAGGAAAGGGGGGAGTGATGGTGACATGCATTTTCTACCCCCTGATCAATTAAGGCTAACCTTTACAACTGGCAGTTTTTAAAGGGTGGGTCTGTGATGAATGAGAAGGATCAAATCTTTGAAGTTTCCTTAAACAAGGGGAATGGGGATAATGGCTTCTCTGTGCAGTTTCACCATCTTTCCAAGCATGGTTTTAAGTCCTGGGTATGAGTAATACAGTAATCCACACGACACATAAGTCCTTGGTTCTGTGTTGAGGAGCACTGTCCCATTTCTCCATAACTGCAATCACATTGCATTTCCAGCACCATTTCTCTATGTGCAGGGCTCCCCTGCTTCCCAGCCCCTGTCCAGCTAGCTTCTCCATAACTTCCTGAATTGCACCTACTGGCTGCCTGGGCCTTGGCTTTCTGTTTTGTCACAGTTCCTATAAATAGTACAGTGAGCAGTTCTCTCCACCCTGTGAGGGTTTCTCACTGTAGCATCATCTTGGCCTTTATCACCTAGTACATAATCTAATTTAAGAATAATTGGTAAAATCCTGTTTTATGCAGAGCCTGCTCTGATTCCCAGCCCTAGCTAGGTGCTAGGCAGAGCTGCAATTAGAGGCTTTGGTGTTTCCTCTTGAACTCATCAAGGCTTGCTGCTGCTTTGAGAAGCCTGAGGGAAGTGGCCATGGGACCTTACCAAGAGCTGGGGGATTTGAGGTTGGGCATGAGGTAGCCAGTCCATGAGGGCCATTGCCTTTCATTCTTACAAGTCTGGAATTTTTCCTCTAGTTTCTTTTTCTTTTGTAAAACAAAATAAAACAAAAGCAACCAGTTTTTTTTGTTATTGTTGTCTTGAGGCAGGATCTCATTTAGTAGCCCAGGATAGTTTGAAACTTAACATGTAGCCCAAGCTGACCCTGGACTCATGGTAGTCTTCCTGCCTAAGTTTCCCAGGATTACAGGTTCAAGATGCATGCTTGCTTTCTACATGCAATTTCAATTCATGTTCCCTCTGAAGCACACAAGTCCTGCCTTGACCCAGGTGTTAGGGAGGTGCCCTTGGGCATCCTTCTCCTGAATGTCAGGCTGCTTTCTGGGTTGATTCTTCAGAAAAAGGGTACTGCCACCATCCAGGGAAACATCATTGAGAAGCCTAAGGACATTGCTGAGTAGCAGTCCTGTGCCAAACAGTGTAGAGACGAGATCTCTTAAAATTACAAGGTGAGCTGCTTCTGGCTTCAGAGTAGTTCCCACCAGGGAAGAAGAACCAGAACCATCAACAGAGAGCCTGTCTCCAGGTCTCACCCAGACCTATAGCATCTGACACCAAGAGCTGCCCTGAGGATCCCTGCTAAAATATCTACTTGAAGTTTCCTAGAATATTGTTGTTAGGATGTGAAATATTTCCCCACAGGCTCACGTTATAACACTTGGTCCCCAGATGGTGGCGCTGTTTGGAAAGGTGGTGGAACCTGTGGTTGGTGAGACCTTGCTGGAAGAAGTGGGTCACTGGATGTTAGGAAATTTAAGTACTTGTCCCTTACAGTTCTCTTCCTCCCCACCCAGCCGTAGAACTTCCATGCTCTCAAGGGTGATCAAACAAGGTTGTTCTCATAACATGACAGTGTGCAGTGCCCACACCTTGACCCCAGGTGTGAGTGGTGCATGATTTCCTCCTATGCTTAGCCTATCCG